GCAAAGACCGGCCCCAGGGAGGAGAACATAGTGAGAACAAAGAGGAGAGCTTGGGAGTTAGGGAAGGAGACTGGGCGCTGGAGTAGGGAGAAGGGGACCCCTCTCCATCGGGCCTTGTGATGGAGAGGTAACGTCTGGACCACTGATCTGGCAGCTTAGCGTTGTTGGGCCAGGGACTGGGGGCAGATGGGGGGCTTCTCTTTGGGCGTTTAGCCCCCTCTCCCCCATGAGAGGCTCTGCCTTCCACTGCCTTTTGTTCAACCCAAAGCAGAGGTCACAACCTGTCTCTGCCAAGTGATGGGTTATAGAGGGTCTGAGAAGGGGCTCTGAGGCTGGTTTCGGATGAGCGGATTCAGCTACCGAGGCACTCTCCTTGAGCAGCAGAAAATTTAGTTTAATGAATTTGGACAGTTCACTGGATCTGCCCACACAGTTCCACTCACCTTCCAAAACGCTTCCAAAATAGCACACTAGCTATTGTACAGGAGCCAAAAAGAAAAAAAGCAAAAAGTCATAAATGACAAGGCCCCAGAGATTTCTGCCCTTTCAGAAAAGTCTGAGTGAACTTTTCCAAAGAAAACTGAAGAAGAAGAAGAAGAAGAAGAAGAAGAAGAAGAAGAAGAAGAAGAAGGAGGAGGAGGAGGAAGAGGAAGAAGAAGAAGGGCTGTTTTTGTCTTTCTCATTGAGGATTGAGGCAAATTCTCATAGGCCCTCCGTTTCAGAGCCAGTCCCTCATGAGGGTCATCCAGAACCCATCCCTGATGTCTGCTGCCATATTGACATAACGCCACAGACCCGGCCCCAGCCTCTTGGCAGCTTATAAGCAATCACACTGTGAAAGTGGGTCCCACTTGCAAGGAGACCCCCCCCACATGCACACAGGCGCACACACGCAGCGACAGTTCCACGCGGCCAGGGGCCACCGGCCGGGACCCCTCTCCAGGCCCTCCCGGGAGAGCTCCCTCCCTCCTCCACACCCCTCCCGTGCACCGCCTGCCTGCGGGAGCCAGATGTTCCGTGGGCAGCCCCCTCTGTGGGTGTGACAGGCGGTGATTATGGTTGCCAGCCCCACATTAGGAGAGAGTTGAATGGGAGAGAGCCCCCACCCGCCCCAGGCTCCCTACAATAGCGCCTTTGTGAGGTGCTTCAGTGTCTCTCTTTTCCCTGTCCTCACCAATCTACGTCAGGGGCAGCTCTGCCTGGGGAGAGAAGAAAAGACAAAAGGAGCATCACAGGGCCCCACCCCCACCCCGGCCGATCCACCCTAACCTGGGGGTGGGGGTGGTGTCCTTTAGGGAAAAGATGTGTTCCTTTCTCCTCCCCACACTGAGGTCAATAACCACGAGGACCCTCAGGCTGCCTGACGTCTACTTTCCCAGAAGGGCAGCGGGTCTTGTTCCTGAGTGCAGAATGGGGGTACGCAGCGGGGGTGGGGCCTGGCACAGAGCTCAGCACATTCCGAGGGACGGGGTGGGGGTGGGGGTCCAAAAGCCAGGGTTTTCCTCTCCCTGGTCCCTCTCCCTTCCCCGGATGGCCTCCTGGAATTCCGAGCCAGGGGCCAGGGCAGGACAGGGTTAAGTTTCCAGGACTCCTGGCCAGACTTCAGCCAGGTTCCAGGACTGTGGTGGGGGTGACCGGAGGGATGTGTTGGGAAACTGGTAGAGCTCCCATCTGGGGCACGGTCACAGCCCCTCCTCCTCGCTCAAACCGCAGACGCCGTGGCAGCAAGAAAATCAGCGCGGTTCAGAGCAAGCCCGATTGTGTAACCGTGTAACGGGGCCCTGCGGGCTGCCCCAAGCCGGAGAGGGCAGTGGGGGCTGGGGCCGGGGCCGAGTCCACCTCAGAAGTGACACCGGAAGTCCTTTCCCAAAACACATTTGGGGCTCTGGTCTTCACACTGCACTCCGGTGCGACTCGGATTCATTTTCTGGTTCAAACCCTCTGCGAACTGGAATTGGAAACTCTGCCCCTGGGCCCCAGGCTGGCAGCCAGGGGCGCGGGGCCAAGGGCGGCTCTGGGAGGGTCGCGGCTCCGGGAGGGCCGCCCCAGATGAGAGGCGGCTGTGGAGGGAAGCCCCTCGGCCAGCCCCCTAAAGGGGCGGGATTGTGTGCTTCCCCAGGCGCCCCACAGCAAAACCTGTAACTAGAGAAGTCCCCTCTCTCTCAGCAGGAGAGCCCAGCCAAGTCCCCGATGTGGCTTAAGGAGTGGCAATGGGGTGGAGGAGGAAAATGGAGGGTCACGGGGAGAAATCCGATCTGAGGGCCACCCCAAACACACACAGGCGAGGAGCATGGATTTTCCTTTTAATGCAAAATGTTGCAATAATACAAAATGATGTGAAGAAAGCCCTGTTCCCCGGGGCACTAAAGGGAGAAGGGAGACAGCCAGAGTGGAAAGTCTCCTTCTCCTAGAACCCTCTCCCCCCACCGGAGTCACACGGAGGCAAGAAATATTCTGTTGCCCATTTGCTGGGGTTGCCCCCATACGAGGGTCCAGAGCTCTGGGTCTGCATGGTCTTTGGCCTGAAATTCATTGCCATGGGGCAGGAGGGCACTGGCCACTTAGGGCTGTCTGTGTTTCATCTCTAAAAGGGTCTCTGAAGATCTAAGGTCCCACAGGAAACGGAGGGGCCATGAGAATTTGGCTTCCGTTGGCTGCAGATACAGGCCCCGAAGCACAAGTTGCCCACATCTGGACAACAAGGAGCAGGAAGCGTTGTGCAGACAGAAATGTGTAGAGGTGAGAGAGATTCACCAACCAGGGCTAGGTCCTCAGACTTCTTCCTCTTTCTTTCTCATCTCCAGCTTATAGACAATCTGGTAGCCGTCATCCCAGGCGTAGAGCTGACGCTCTCGGGGGTTATAGCGGAGGCTGGCATGGGCCCCATACCGGCGGGGGAAATACGGGAGGGCCGCCCTCTCGGGGGTCAGGGTGCCACTGGCATCAAAGGAGCACTGGATGCGGGCGCGGCTGGCAGGGCGGGTGTTATAGACAACGTACAGGGTCCCGCAGATGACAAAGGCCGCCTCGGCATTCTCTCTGGGACATGGTGTGTCCCACTGCTGCTCGGTGTCCAGGGTCTGGGGGTCTAACTTGGCCAGACATAAGTGCCTGTCATCCTCCCGAGTGGCATAGACAGCCCAAAGGCCCTCCTCATCAGCCGCCAGGTCGATGTATGTGTCTGCTGTCAGCCCGTATGGGGGGATCAAACCCTCCGCCGGGAATACTGAGCTGTCCACCACGGTCCGGTTTGCCAGGTGGAATTTGATGAGCTGCAAGGTGTTCTCCAGCTCCCCTCCCCCTCCGGGTCCTCCAGGAGGCCTCCGGGCGTAATAAAGAAAGCCACCGTACACCAGCTGCCCCGTGCCTACCCAGGGGAAGGGCACCCGGACCCGGGAAGCTTTCCGGGCAGCCATGGCCAGGGTGAAGTCCCGCAGCCTTGGGAAGACAAAGGCTGTGTCATTCTGTGTCCCATCTAATACGTAGATCTTCTCTGTTGGCCCCATTGGATCCTTGGTCCACAGACCAGCTGGGCCACCGAACCGCTTCAGGATCTTCATTGATCTCACCTGAGAGATTGTGTAGCCACAGTCTGGTGGGGAGGGAGAAAAGCACAGGACAAGGCAATACGGGCAAGAGTTAGATGCCCGCAGCGGGAACCCCCCAGGGTGGGCCATCTGGAGGACAGTGGGCATTTGCCAGTGGACGCCTCCACTCTTAAGGAGGATAGGGAAAAAGGTGCCACAGAGGCCTGGGTCCCCAGAAACGCTCACAATGGCCCTGTCATTATAGAGATTCCCCTAAAGCGGATTCCAGGAGATCGCGCCAAAGTGGCCTCCGGGACAAGGAGAAAAATGGGAAAGAACCAAGGCAGAATACAGGTCCCGAGAGTGTCAGGGCTCTGCTTTTGGACCACTTACCTGTCAGCATATCGTACTTCTCATTTCTTCTGCCCTTGCCTTTGATCCCAGGGCCTCCGGTCACCTTCTCATCAACCTCCACACAGGGTAGAGCTGGGTTCTGGGTCTCCAGATAGTCAACTTCCCGCTCCAGACGGTCCACTCTGCCCGAGATGGTGTCGGCCTCGGTTCTGAGTGCCTCGCGCTCCTTCTCGGCCACCTCCAGCAGCGGCAGCATCTTGTTCTTGAAGTCCCTCAGCTCAGCGGCGTGCCGGCTACTTTGGTCCTGGCACTGGGCCAGCCGTTCCTGCAGGGATGGGGGCCAGGAGAGGGGCTGAAGCGTTACAACTCCCGGGCAGGGAGAGGCCCAGCCAGGGTGTGAGGAACGGGAAAGAGCACAAACTAGCCAGGCATCAACTCCCCTTCAACCCCCACGGAAAGGAAACCAGATGTTCGGAGATGCTAAATGTGCAAAAAGCCCGGCTCAGATCACCTAGGCCTCTACCCCCACTTCATGTCCTCTGAGTCGCCGGGGCAGCCTAAGCGCATGAGGGCAGTAAGGGTCTCTGCTCCACTGTATACTTCTCCTCTTGGGAATGAACAGATTTCAACTCGGGAATGGCACAGACTTCAAACTGTTAAAAAGACAGAAGGCTGCAGATTCTCTCGGAACTTCCAACTCTCACAGAATCATCAGCTCACCCTGAGATGCTTTCTTGCCATGCTAGCTCTCATGTCCACTGTCCCCTTATTCCATGCCGTCTCAGGGTAAAACACAAAGGCCTGTTTGCTTTGGAATGGCTCTGTGGCCGTGGGGAAAGAGGAGGGCTTGCGATTGTAAGGATACTCTTCTTAAAAGATAGAGTTTTCTGTTGGTGCTCACAGAGCCCCATCGTGTCATGTCCCCAGATCCCTGACACACTGGGTGAATCAACAGGAGATGTGGAGTCCTTCCCGCCTGGCCCGGGGGGAAAAAAGTCACTCACCTCTAAGGCAGCTAGTCGGCGTTCCATGTACTCCACAAGGTGGTGCTGCTGTCCCTGAAGGGGTCGCAGGCATGACAAAAGGAACAAGGTAAGGAGAGGCGTGCAGGGCCCCATGGCCGCGGGAGAAAGGGGGCCGGAGTAGGAGCGTGCAGTCCTGTGCCTTTTCCACTCAAGCCCGCCGCTTAGCTTTGGAGGCAGGGTGGGGGCGGTGCCTTCTCTCCTTCTGGATCTCGGGTCTCTCTCACTACTCTGGAATGCTTTCACGGTCTCTTTACAGCCCCCACCCCCTCCTTTCCGCCTGGATTGATCAAACACAGATGGCCCTATGGCAGAGCAGCCAGAAGAAGCCTTAACCACCTCCCGCCTAGGCTGTAGGCTCCCGGGGAGAGGGGAAGGAGATGAAACCCCAGGGCAGAGGCCTTCTGGGCAGTCACCCAGAAAAAGGAGCTCGCAGCGGGAGGCAGGGGCCCCGGAGTACACTCAGCAAACTCTATTCCTGTTTTAGGAGAATGCATGCTTCCTTCCAGTGCTGGCTTCTTCAGAGACATCCATCATTAATCTTTTCCTTCCCCAGCAATAGTAGCATGAATTGTTTTCTGCCTTGTTCAGTGGAAGCTGGAAGCAGGGGAGATGAGGTTTGAGGGGAAAGGGTGGGAGAAAAGATCACAGTGGTCAAGTCTGCACTACCTTCTTCTATAGCTCATTGGCGCCATCTTGTGATAAGCACCTGGTGTCATCTCAGGATTCACAGGGAAACCAAGGCTTAGACCTCACGTCCTGTGGAAAATTTCCACAAAGCAAGCCAAGCAGATTGAATTTACCAGGGGTTTTCATCATCAAAACACAGATTTCCCCACAGACTACCCAACTACTTAAGGGGCTATCCCAATCTCTCTCTGATTTAGCCTAAGGAAGAGAATATAACTGAGATTTAAAAACAAACAAAAATACCAAAAAAACCCAGATCATTGACAAGTTAAATTCATTCTTGATTACCTGGAAGTGAGACTGATAGCAGAGCCTTTCTATTTGCCTTTCTCTTACCTGAACGCTTCTAGGTATATTCTCTTACCAAACCTGGGGAACATTCAGTAAGTTCACCCTCATTTATTTAGGAAAAAAAGAATCTGAAAAATATATGTGCTGCAGTCTAAATCAAATAAATGTGTTCTGACTTCCCCACCAATGGGGGAGAAGAGCCTATTGATCATTTCTAGGTTATGGTCCAAAACGGTGTTTCTAAATGCGTCTCATTTCTATACCCCAACCACGACTGCAGAACCCCACAATGAATTAATGGCCACTGTAGAGTAGATGTGGCCTGAAACACATGTGTCAAAAGAAGCCAAACGAATATATAGCATTTATTCAGGGACCTGCAGTGATCGATTTAGACAAATCTCTAATTCTTCATCAGGAGAAATTTTCTTCACTTCAGAATCAAGAGAACTCTAATCAGAGTCCTTCTCCAAAAGGACTGTGCTTCAAACAATGCAGCTTGAAAGGAGGGGAAAATAGCGTCTGCTGTGGTGATTCTGATTTTCATTATGATACTTCAGACGGTTGTTGGAACATGCTAGGAAACAAAGTTTAGTTATCCTGGGTCAGAAGCTGTGCCTCTTTCAAAGGGCCAGGACCAGATGAGATCTTCAGTTAGGGCCCGGGCACTCCTTTCCTGGGAAGTGTTTTCTACCAACCCTGTTTCATTTCCATTGTGGAGATTTGTATGAAAGATGGATTTGCCTCTAACCCACCACTGGTGTTCAGATGCGATGTATTTAGCCACTCCAAAGATGCCATTTGTTGATCCCCTTTGTAAACCTCTAACAGAAGTCAAAGACAGCCACATGAATCAGAAAATTTACCCATTTTATTGATGCATTGCAATTGCTCTACATTTTACCATATTATGTAGAAAATACTGAAAATACAAGCTACTTTGTAAAACCAAAGACGAACATTGAATCCAAAGATAAACTATGTTTTACACAATGGACCCTTTTCCCGTAGTTAGTATTAAATTTTAAATATCTATTTCTTTTGTTAAAATGATTATTTTACATACTCCCTAAGTACATCTGCATTACAAACATAGCTCAATTAATTCTCAGAAACTGTTTCTAGAGGCTTGTTGTAAAAGGAAGCGCACAACCAGAAAAGGGAGAAAGCAAAAAAAGTTTAAATCGCACACAATAACTAGCATATCAAATACATTTAATAAAGTTGGAATTCCATTGCAATATCAAGGATTCAAAGCAGAAATACTAACATTACATATAATGTACATATAATGTACTGCTACATGTAGTGAGATTATTTTTCAAGCTGAATCAAAACCACACATTATATAAAGTTTAGCAACAAACAACCATGTAGACATGCTGCACCATCCGTTTAAAAAAATAAACAACAAAAAAAAAAAAAACAGGAAGCAGGCTTGGGCCATTCCTGTCACTGAGAGGCGATTTCATTTCCTATCCTAAAACCAACCAACCTAACCAGTGGGTTTTTGCATAATAATGCTGAATAAAACACACATTACTGTGCTTGCCTGGCTAAGGGCAGTCAAGCTGAGCCCCTCTAGTGGAGGACGATGGATGGCCAGAACTGTTTGAAATGGGAGTTCTTATTCCTGGGGCTGGTATCTGCGCTGAGCACGGACAGCAGTATCCCTCTCCTGGGAGCTATTAAAACTCTGGAGTGATCAAGTGTCCCAATGAGCCCAGAGTGGCTGTACTTAAACCTTCCCCACTTTCTCTCTCACCCTGAAGGGGAGAAGCTGGAAATGCAAGTTCTGAAAGGACGTAAAGCCTTAAGCTGGTCTGAGGTTAGGCCGCCGCTCACTGAATTCGCAGGGCTTCCCCCCATCCTGTCAGGGCTGGCAATGTTAAGCCCCAGGGACAGAATCTAAAGCCACATTGAGCACATACACATTGAGCGGACACAGACGGATTTTTATCTTGGTAAATTTGAAATGCCAATTTGCAGACTAAGGCTGAAAATTTCTAAAACTCTTCAAGCCACACACTGCTAGTAAGGATGTTTCAGGTAACAATACACACTCTTGGTATTGTCTTTTCCCCATGAGGTTATAAGACTCGCATCTTAAGTGGTTATCTACTTATTGGACAGGGAGGCAGGAGGGGAGTGTTTTGTATTGTTTTTCCTGCATCTCGTTTGTTACAAAAACAACAAATCTTACCCCTTGTAGAGGAAAGATAAGGAACAAAAAAATGTTTCTACTAGAAACTAGGTCTGCCTTTGAACAAGAAAATCAAAATATGCTTGGCAAAAAAGGGAAACACAACGATCACACGCGCTGACCAGAAAACTGTGTAACACTAGTGACGGAAACCATACAAACTGCTTGGGTATCCTTACCAATATAGCGGTGCAAACCGAACTCAGGAGAGTGACCACAGGAAAAAAAAAAAGAAAAAAAGAAAAAGCAGAAAACACCACCATGTTCCTGGTAGGCTGTACTGACTGACTGTACTACCTGCCCCATCGTGGAAGCCCTTACTCTTTACAATGAAGAAACTCCAAATACCTTGACAGCTCCTCGGTGTCCAACCCGGTACAGAGCTTGCTGACCAGGCTCCATGAAATCTCCCATCTCCATCCTGCACCTCCTTGACGCCATCTCTACAAAGAACCAGTCCTAGACTTAGCCCTCAAGTACATAATTTTCAATTCAGATGGAACACTTCTATATCTTAGAGTTAACCTTCTTCCCCCAAATCTTTTATGGGCAGGAACATCCCCATCCCCAGTACCCTCCACTTGACCCAGATCCATGCAGGAGCTGAGAGTACAAGGACAATTTCACAGCCCCAAGAATATTCAAGTTGTTAAAAAGAAACCTCAAAAGCCTGATGACTCGACAGGCTTTGGTTCCTTTTTAATATTCTTCACCGGCTCAGAAACCTTCCTGTGAGTTCCCTGTCACCAGCGGCATCACAAAACTCCTCCTCATAGTACGGGGACATGGTAAGCAATACAATAGGCTCTTTGGTATAAACAGATCTGTTATATGTTTTTTTCAACAAGCAAATATTTTACTAGGAATGGCAACTATTTGCAGGAAGGACTGCCACATGGGAAAAGGAAAAGAAAAATTTCATTCTAAAAGTGATTGCACATACTTTAAAGAAAAAGAAAACCACCACATATTTCATATTGGCTTGACTCCTCTCACCTGCTTCCCAAACTCTCACAGAAGCAAGGTAGCAATGCGCCGTGAGAGAGCCACATGGGGAAAATGCTTCTGTGAGAACTAGGCTGAGATTCCGGGTTGGAAAGGGGTAGACGTGGTGCTAAAGGAGAAAAGCTGCTGTTTTTCAGTGAAGGCAGGGAAACTGACAACAATGCATTTACACGACACAGCTACTAATCCTGTTCTGATAAATCCCAGTGAACAGCTTAGGGTCCACAAGGGCTTGCTGGTCCATCCTAAGGCAAGCTCACTGTAAACTCTATGAACCACTACATCATCATATAAGGCACTACAATAAGGGAAGGAGGAGACAGGGAAGAAGAGACACACACTGAACAACTCCTCACCAGACACACCTGTGCAAACAATTCCAAGGGTCTCCTCTCCTTGCAGGCAATGCCCCTGCTCATTCAACACTACAGTAATATGCTCTAATATAATTGCAATTAGTTCACATACATTCCAACAAGTATCAGTTCATTTTGGTTTAAATACAATGGAGACATCCATTCCATCTCCGGGGTAACACTGGAGGATCAGATACACACTAAATACACAATTCAAGTGTAATCACTACACATTTGATTACAAATAACATTTTGGGTTAGCAGGAAAAATTGCTTGTTATATTTTTCTAATCAATATGTACATATTTAATTATGCAAAATATTAAAACACCACCATTACAAAACTTCTAAAATATTTTTAAATTCAGTAATAAATTTTTAAAATATTTTTTGCAATTCCTACATGCACTTATTGTATAAGTCTTAATAAGAGAGCATTCAATTTGCTGCTGGCATACAAAGGAAGCTACTTTAAAGTATAAAAGCTATACACAACGTTCTTATCTGGTTTCAGATTCTTTAGCTTTCTCCCCAAATAAATCACATAGAACAGAAGGGAGAGATGAGGCAAAGAGAGAGAGAGGTGTATTACTGAAAATTCATATTAATCTTTAGGCAAAGCTCACCAATGCCAAGAACCTTTAGGCAAAGCTCATCAATACCAGTATCGCATAATACAGAGAGATTTTGCATATAATAAGACAACCACCACCATACAATAATAACCACCTTAATGGCTTTTCCAATAATAAAATTTAAGCTGAATCAGAGAAAGAGAGAAAGACTTTTAAAAAATAACTTAAGAAGAATGCACGGTACTTCATTTAAAAAGAGTAATACCTAGTGCTTTCACGGTAGGTATGGATTCTCTCACACTAAGTTACCAGCAAATGGTGAGCTGCCTTTTTAACACTACTTTACAATAAACACAGGAGCAACTGAGAGAATCCCAAGAGTAACACAGAGCAGTATATTACCAGTTTTGCAAAAATAACAATTGCCCAGTAAGTATAACGTGACACGAAAACAAAACTAAAACACTGTAAGTCTAATGTCCCATAAGAAAGGTAAAATTTTGAGAGGAGAAATGCCTGATAGTCAGATACAGACTTGTGTAAGCTGCTCTTAAAATAGGCCATTAAGTCTTGGTTTTTAAACAAGCAAAAAGTGGTGATTTTTCTTTTCTCACTTGTTACCGGATTTCAAATCCTTCTATCAGCATTTTTCCTCTGACCAGCAATTACAATAAAACAAAGTTAAATAAAGAGGGGCTTCACTTGGTTTTTTAAAAACATTTATAGAAATCAAGTCAGAGAGAAAATATTTTTCAAAGGGTAACTTCAGAACGATCTCTCTTCCTTGGTAACTGCAGAAGATAGGCATCTGAACTCTTTCAAATAGCAAAAATGCTGTCACAAAAATAAAGAATTAAAAAATAGGGCAGACTTTGGGAGACTACAACAATGCAGTCAACACTAAGACAGGTTCCCCAGAGAAAAACCTTCTGCTTCAGTGGGCCCCTGCAGAACAAGTTGCTGGCTAAGGAGTTTCAAGAGGGGCTTAAGGGAGGAGCTCGTCATAGCCCGTTATTAAGAACTCAGGGCCAGGAACAGGCAGCCATGACCCCTCCTCCCTCTGCTCACCAACTACAAATAGGAATACTGGCTGATCTTGGTAGGACTCAGTGGGTATCCAGTGTAAATTGTTGAGCCTCGGGAAGACCCAATGTAGGACTGGGTGGCAAACTGGTGTTGGTACTGAGCAGGGGCCACACTGGCAGAAGTGAGAAGGCTGGGCCCAACACTGACAGGGACCTGGTGCACCAGAGTGCTAGGGTGGGTGGTATAGGCTGCAGCATGCCTTGAGGAGCCCTGGGGGGAGAAGAGATGAGCAATGGAGCTGGTGGAGCCCAATGCAGCAGCAGAGGTGGGGGCAGCATACGTATACAGGTGAGGCTGGCTCGGCAGGTGAGCAGGGGCTGGGGCCAGGTGTGGGTGCCCCGTCGAGTGTAGTGGGCTCCCATGCTGGAAGGCGTAGGGGGCTTGGGAGAGCGGGGCCACAAACGCCTGCTGCCTGCGGGGGGCAGGGTTGCTGCTTCTCTCCTGCGAGGTTGGAGCTGACGATGACTGCTGGTTCTGGAAGGAGGAAGAAGGGAGTGAGGAACCTTGAGGTCGTCCCGGTTCGGGGCACCAAAGACC